GCCTGCTCAGCCTGGCCCCCCAAGTCTCCTGGAGCAGTGTCTGATTCCTGCAGCCCAGGGACCAGGGTGGTCGGGGCTTGTTACCCAGTTCGTGGCTCTTTCCATCCCCCAGACCTGAGGCCCCCCCAACCCCTGGGCTTCTGGGTGCTGCTCCTGCAGGGGCTGGGGGTGGAAGGGAGGAAGGGGAAGAAATGCTGGTCCCGGGATGAAAGGCTGGCGGGCCTGGGCTGGACCAATAAATCGCCCCACCCTCCCTGGGAGGACCTCCAGGCACCAGTGTAAACTGAGTCATGGGGGGCGAGGGGGTGAGTCACGAGCCTGTGAGTGGGAGCCAGATAGGACAGAGCTTGCCAGCCTGGGGCCACACCCCATGGGGCTGATGCTCCAGCTGCCCTCCAACACCTGAAGGCTTTTGCCTAGGTAAGGGGGTGCAGGAGCAGGATACCCAGCAAGCTCACGCGTGTGCGTGTGCATGTGTGTGCGTGTGTGTGGTGTTTCAAGGGTAGTGGCAGGCAGGAGAAGCATCTCTGACTCGGAGAAAAGGATTGGGGTTTGGAATGGAGGCCAAGCCCTGGAGAGGAAGGTCTTGGCGGGACGGCTCCTCTGCTGAATCCTGGCCCCCGTGGGGCTCGGCCGATTCCCGTGCTGGACACAGCTTGTCCCTTTATCCTGGGAGGGGCGAGCCAGGCCCAGAGGGCCTGTGTGTCTTCCAGGGTCCCCCGAGGGGGAAAGTCTCCTGCCACCAAAGCCATCAGTTCGGACTTCAACCCTTGGGACTACACCTCCAGGAACAAGAGGTTCTCAGGGCCGGGGCGCCCGGGGGACCTGCGGCCTGGCCGTGGCCAAGTTACTTAACCTCTGTGCTGCAGCTTCCTCCCGAGGGCAGGGGGACCCAGCGGGGCGCCACACATATCTGCCTTTATCCTGGGGTCCCCTCTGCGCCTTCAGTTCCCAGATCACTTGGTCTGGAAATATTTCGTGCAGTAAGAGAGCAAGAAAGAGACTACATTCACCTAACTTTTACCGCCGTTTGCTGCCATGTGCTAGATTTCATTGCAAGTTTTTCCTGCTGATTTCTATTGTGCCTGATTTTTAAACTAGACTTGGTCACAGGCACGTGCGAACAGGGAAACAGCATATCGGCGGCACGTTGTAGCTGCTCTTCTCCAGGGAGTCCTGGAGGGTGTCCCCGCACCCAAGGGGGACGGCTGGAGTGCCCAGCGCAGAGCAGGTGTGTGCCTCTGTCCTCACCATCTGAACCCCAGTTTTCTCATGTAAAAACTGGGTGAGTGGAGGAAGCCAGAGATGCCCCTGGCTGGCCTTGGCTTTGGTTCCAGCCTCTGGCTTCATTCCCCAGGAAATTGCCCCATCTGTCCCTCCACATCTGACTCTGTTGGATGTGGGGTTTGCTGGCACCCCTACCTTATCCTGGGAGGCCAGTAATCAAGGAAAGACGGTGTGGTGGATTTCTGGGTCGAGTGCCCTTAGGTTACCTCTCAGCATTTGGGGAGGTGCTTCAGAAAAGTGGGGAGTTTCCCTCCCTGGATGAATCAGCTGTGTGACCCAAGCCCGGTGCCTGCCAGGGCCCTCCCAGCGGGCAGGGCTGGGGTACAGTTGTCCTGCTGGGAAAGTCCCCCAAGCCTGCCAAAGGGCTGCAGAAGTTTTCTCTTAACTGTTTCCGGTCCTCCCAGATTCAGCCCCAGCCCCAACTGGGGGGGGGGGGGATGGGACAGAGATTGTCCCGCCCCGGCCCACCCCTCTCTAATCTCCTCCCTGGGGGCTGGGGCTCCTCAGAGGGAGGCGGTGGGCGGGCGGAGTGGGCTTCTTTGCCCTGCACTCATTCATCCTTCCAGTGGTGTCATCAACCGGAGCAGAACACTGAGGCCTGTCAAAGCCACCCAGCCCATCCCTCCGCGGCTGCTTCCTAACTCCTGTGTTGGCCCAAGGGGGTGGGTCTTAGGGGGCCCTTGACCTGGCAGAGGAGTAGCCCTCCCCAGAGGGCAGGGACCTCCCTCTGGTCTGGGTCAGCTTAGCTACTGAACTCTCTGAGTCTCGGTTTCTTCAGCGGTAAAATGGGATCACCTGGCTCACCTCTCCCAGGCGGTCTGAGGCCCCTACCTGCGTGCTCAAGTCAGAGCCCAAGTCCTGGGGCTACTTTGCCCTTGCAGCCTCCCCGCCCCGCCT